TTTCCTAACTGAAGATTTTTTGGGGGGTCTTTTTGAGACAGGGTTTCCCTGTAGCCCCAGCTGGTCCTGGAACTCACTATGTAGACCAGGCTGGCCTTGAACTCACAGAGATCCGCCTGCTTCTGCCTCCCAAGTGCTGGAATTAAAGGCATATACCACACCTGGATTCTCTTTAGAGGTGATAAAAGTCAACTACTAAACAAAACAAAGGGGAAGTATACACTTCATTTTCTTCATGACCAAAGAGGAAAATAAAGGCTACATATTTATAAATTTGTAAAATACTCTTCATGGGAAGGACACATTTGCCTAAATTATTGTTAGAAATCATGAAATAAAATACACAAAACAGCCTATTAAATAACAGAATCCAAAAAGGTTACACAAATTAACAAAACTATGTGCAAAAAGTACAGTCAGTGAGAAGGTGCGGCTATGGTTCAGGTGTTCGGTGCTGGCCCAGCATATACACTTCGGTACATTTTCATTATTATCTACAGTTCACCAAGCTTTTTGTGAGGCATTTTTACCACTAAGTATAGCAAGGAATTCATACAAAATTTTAAATTTCAAACAGTGTGTGGTACCTTTTTATCACTGTTACCTTTTAGTAGCCATAATAAATGCACATTATCACATAGGTTATATTTTCAGCAGGAATCATAATAAATATGTGAAAGAGATTATAAAACAAGTTCTTTGATACCACTAAATAGAGTAAATCTTCAAAATACAGTTGATAATACAAATAATACTTGTAAAGGAACCAGATATTAACTCTTTTATTGAAGAGTACTGTCTCCTAAGTTGCATGAGTTTGCTTGTCCCAGTAATCCCACACCTGGAAGCTTATGGAACATGATCTACAATTAGATCATGTAATCAATTGATTACATAATGATACTTTTTCAAAAACAAACAAGCCAACAACAAAAGAGAGAGAGAGTTATCTCCAAGAAAGGTCATATTTCTGGGGCCGGAGAGACGGCTCAGAGGTTAAGAGCACTGACTGCTCTTGCAGAGGACCCGGGTTCAATTTCCAGCACTCACGTGGTGGCTATACACCATCCTTAACTCCAGTTCCAGGGGAATCTGACGCCTTCTTCTGACCTCCACAGCATTGCACTACACGGGTGCACTCACATACATGCGGGCAATACACTCATATACATAACAAAAATAAAATTTTTTTGGTCCTTTTTGAGACAGGGTTTCTACAGTCGCCCCAGCTGGACTGGAACTCACGGTGTAGACCAGGCTGGCCTCAAACTCACAGAGATCTGCCTGCCTCTCTCTGCCTCCCGAATGCTGGGATTAAAGGCATGTGCCACCACGCCCAGCCTTTAGATAAAATATTTTTTTTAAAAAAGAAAGCTCATATTTCTGACAACATCAATGTGGAGGTCAGATGGCAACTTTCTGGAGTATGTTGCCTCCTTCCACTGTGGGCTCTGGGGATCGAACTCAGTTCCTAGAATGACAAGCACTTTTACCCACTGAGCCATCTCCCTGGCCCCCAACATTTGATATCTTACACCTCAAATAGCAGCACACCCATGTGAAGTACTTTGACTTTGATCTTCTTCATCCAAGTCAATGATCGTTAAGTGTTCCTCCTCCACTGGTGGCTTTACAGATTTTTAGAACTTTTTCTTCCATGAGCGAGCATATTTAGATAATTTCTGATTTAATACAAAATAAGAAAAACAAACTTCTCAAGCCATCTGAATAAAAAGCATTATTAAAAGCATTATGTAAACAGAAAATTTAAAACATCAAATAAAATCAAAGATGTTACTAATTGAATAAAATGCTAGAAGTTTTATTTTATTTGATCAAAGGTAAATAATTTACTGATCACTTGTCCTTTCTTTGATGCTTATTTTTTTGACAGGGTCTCCCTAGTTCCAGCCTGCCTGGAAGTCACTATGTGGAC